AGAGCTCAGTTCTCTTCCATATGAGACTATTCCACGATTCACATTCCATGACCTTTTCTACCCCAAGCCAGGTCACATATATTACCTCACAGTGGAGTATGTAATGAATTCTCTTGAAGTAAACTGGAAAGGTTGGTGGGGAATAGGATTCCTGCAATAGAGCATTTAAACACCAATAAATTATAAATTAGAACAGGGGCGATCAAAAAACATAAGCATAAGAAAATGATTATTTTGTATGGTACATACGGTCGAGGTCCATAAACTTTGATCTGTCGAACATGAGTATCCCTCCCATTAAGGTGATTTGACAAAACCGCAATTTGCAGCATAAAGGTATTGACAAAGGTTTCTCTGCAAGACATTTTCATTGATCAGTAAACCCAAAACAAATCTCCCCTTGGCTGATCCTCTAGCAAACAGTTCATATTAACTAACAGAAGAAAACAACATAGAAATAACTTTAAATTGTCACTGAAACGTAACAACTGAAACAATCATTTTGCTACTCACCGAGGATCATTCCCAGATAACGAAAGATAAACCCAACCAGTAGGCTTGACAAGCTCCACAGTTTTAATCTCCTATCGAAAACATTCATACACAAATAAAACAGCCTGGTAGGAGTGCACGATTCTAAATGAAAGCACAAAGTAAATTATAGATTATACCTTCAAATTATGGAAGCCATCACCAGCTCGAATAGAGATCTTACTTGGCGTGTAGCTCTCATCAAGCTTGAAATCCACATAAAGCACAACTAGCTTCAAAAACCCAATGAAAGGGAGGGAAAAAAAATCCACTAATCGTCATAAGCCCATCATCAAAAGTTCATGAAAATAAAAATTTACGATCCAAACAGTAGCAGAATTCTCACATACTTGCAACTTGACCTTCTTCTGGAACTGAAGTTAACTAAATGAGGCTGAGCGCCATCTGATCTGAAAACCACCAAAAAAAAGGGGAAAGATGTGAGAATTGAAAGTAAAATTGGGGGTCAAATTGGGAAGAGATTAATGTGTTTAACTGCCAATAGGTTTCAAGATTGTCGTCACGGAGAGAAGACACGCCATTGCCAGTTTTACAAGAGCTGACACTCCAAGCTGCTTTTTTGCCCATTTCTCTCAGATCATCTTCAACAATTAGGTGTTGATTTCCTCCTGTAATCTTCCCTTCTTCTTCCGACTCTGAAGATTCTGTAGCCATTTCTGGAAATGAATACCCTAATTTGCACTATTCAAAAATAAAAGCCCCGGCTAAGCACAGCCATTTAAAAGTTGGAAAAAAATGTCAGGTGTATACTTAATTCTTCTATTTGTTTATTCTTTAGAGTAAATTATCCTATTCTTTAGTGATAATGATAGATTTAAAAATATACATAAATATATTTTTAATTTATTTTAATCGATTTTATAACATAATAGATGCATAATATATGAAAATAATTTTTAATATACAAATATTTATGGTTCAAATACGCCTTCGATTGTTCAGGCACATTTGATCAGTTAGTAAATTGTTTATCTTTATTCACTCATATTTTTTTTAAATTATAGTTTTCAGACCCACTAAGAGTACTCTATTTATTTTATCTAGAGTTTTCTCTTCCCCGATTAAATTTAAAATTTGTCACAAAAATACACCTTCAATTCTTTTAACACCTTAATCTCTATATTAATATTATTATTAATTAGTTTGAAAATAAATTTAATTAAACTTTAATTTTAAAATTAAAGAAGTAAATTCAATAGTTCAAAGAGTGTAAGAATTAAAGTATAATGAAGAAAAGGTTGCATAAAATCATAAAATTTATAACTAAAATTAGTTATTAATTATATCTCACGTGTGATAATTAAATGATTAATTAAAAATAATATCTTTTATTTTGTTCATGATACTAAGCTCCATTAGAATTTTAAGTTAATATAACTAATAAATTGTTATATTTGATTTAAAACCTAATGACATATTTGATCTTTGAATTTTTAAAAAATTCATTTATTTTTTTATTTTTTGTGACTGGAACTTTTACAATTTTCTCAATTTGAATCAAATTATAAAAAAATAACGGGGTTTTAATATTTTTCATATTTTTTTATGATTTTTATACCATTATAAATTTTAACAATTTAATACTTTTTATGATTCAATCATTGAATCAAATGTTGGAATATTTAGATGAAACTTCACGTGTATTGGAACAAGTTGGTTGTTTCAGTTGTATGCCTTCATCTTTTCTAATTTAAATATAGATAATGGTAATCGATAGAAAAATAATTATTAATTAGTATCTAAATATATTATTTCTATGAAGAGGTAAGAGAAAGATGAATGAAAGAGACGTGATCAAGAGGAATTTACAATATTTTCTCAGTCGTGATCAAGAGATTTATATTAACATTTGATGTTGATGATAAATGTAGAATTTTAATGGCTATTCAAAAGTGAATAAGATAACTAGTTATGATTGATGTGGTCAACTGATAATTTATGTAAGGATTTGATAAATTATACGAGTCTTGCTAAAAATCATGTCAAAGAGTTATAATTTTTCGAGAGATGTAAAGTCCCAGAGGTCCTTTATCCAGAGATATTACTTTGAGATCTCTATTGTGAGTATATTTTTATAGAAATCTTTTGATATCTTAAGGTGTACAACACTTGTCCCCCTTAGTTGAAGGAATGTTATAAAGTGACTTGACTTGAGATTGATATGGACAAACATAATATGCACTAAATATATCATTTTTGAGGAATTTTGTGATAGATTTTTAACGATTGAGAAGAGCACATATATTGGTGTTAGTCGGAAGATTGATAAACGCGGTGTTCCAACTGTTGAGAAGACATAATGCTCTTCAACTATTTAAATGGGAGAGTTGGGACAAAAGTCATATTCTTCTTTTGTGTTTAACTTTGTAGTTGACGCTTTCTCTATTGTATTCGTTGTTTGTTTTTTGAATTTTCCTTGTCAAAAAATGTCCCAGGCAGTAAAAATTTTGAAAATAAGAGTGGAAGCAAATCAATCATTTTTTTATTGCTAATATCAATTCATGTGCAAGACTGATCAAAATGAGCGGAGGAACCTTTACTTGACTCGCAATTTATTGTGAGAAATTTTTGGGTTTGAATTTGATATCTTCATGGGGTCGTGTTGTACGAGTGAATATAATGAGGTTTCCAACGGAGATAAGGAATGATTTTATCTTCCTCTTTTTGTCTGGAGACTGAGTTTCACCAGCCGACGCACGACTTCGTGAAGGGTGCTCTTCTTATGATGTAGCTTCGGGTCAGTTGTCGGAGTTTCCTAGTGAATTATTATCGTGTATCTTATTATATGGTGGCGAAAAAAGTGAGTACCCTTGATTGTTGTCTTCAAATCTTGTTACTTTGAACAATGTGACCTAAAAGACTTGTGTGGGCCTTCTAGGTTTTACTAAGAGAGGCGTAAAATGACTAAAAGTCGGAGACTTATTATGGGCCGGAGTAGCAAGCAAAAGCTGGATTTAGAGCGCTCGAAGTTTGTAAGAGTAGCATAAAGGCTACCAGGGAGTTTTGGTTTTCCCTTTCAGTGGAGCATACTTGATAAAGTGATGAGGACAGGTATCCCTAAGTCAAATAGAGTGGAAAAGAAACAATTTTAATTACTGAAAGTGGTGGTTGGTTGATCGTTTCAGATTTTTTTTTTATACAGAACGCTTTTTAAGTACTGTCTTAAAAGGGAATAGTCTTAATGGATTCAAGATCAGTGAGATTTTGGCCTGATTTTCTCCTCATTTAGGTGTTGGGGATTGTAATGTGTAACCATATGGATGGAGAAACATTTACATGATAGTCTAATTGTTTATGAGAACAAGTTGGTCGTAGGCCGTTTATCCTTTCTAATTTGGACGAAAAATTACAGCTAGTGGAAGAATGGTTATTAACTGGTATCAAAGTGTTATGTCTCTATAAGGAGTTATGAGGGAGATGATTGAGGAAGATGTGATCAGCGGGAATCCAGATCTTTCTCTTGGTCGTAGTCAAGAAGTTGTGACCAAGAAAAATCTATATTCTTCTCTCGGTCATGGTCAAGAGATTTTATAATGATCTTTGGTACTGATAATAAGTGTAGGATCATTATAAATATTCGTAACTTAATAAGATAGGTAGACCTGATTGATGTAATCTATTATCGATTAATGTAAGAGTCTAACAAATCACGTGGATCTTACTAGAAATCATATCAAAAAATTATAATTTCTCGAAAGATGTAAGGTGTCAGAACTCCTACATTCGAAGATGCTATTCTGAAACCTCTATTATAAGTTTTAATCTTTATAACACTTTACAATCACACCGTATTGAAATAGTGGTGTATTTTTATTCTGCAAAGCTATCAAAAGCTCAGACAAGGAGCCACCGAGTTGGCCACTTCTGCCACTAGCGCGCCTAACCTTTTTCACCCTGCGCCACCATCTTCGTTGCCCCACACTGATTTAAAGCTTTCATCCAAATCTCATTTTCCATTGCTATCAGCTTTTTTCTGGCAGTCTTACTGTGGTCCTCCACACTACCTTTCATCACTTTCACATCATATAATATATATATATATATATATATATATATGGAAAACATACTGACAAGAAAGATATCTCTAGTCCTTATAGTATATATGGAAATCTTTGTGATTAATAATATGGATGGTATTTTATTATAATAATTGGACTATACTTTAAGAAAAAAGAAAACAAGAATATGTTCATTTAATATTTGTTGGAATCAAAGTAAGAAAAAATAAGAAAAAAAAATATCCATCTTTGATACTTGTAGGATTTCAGGAATCTTTGACGTAAATCTTGTAAGAGGATCTTGAAGTCTGATATGATTCCAGGAATAGTATCCGCAGAAAAACCAGTAAACAACAAATCTTAGCTGGGAGAGAATGGACAAACAAATGTTTGCTTAGAGGTACCCTTTTTCGATTAACCATTTCCGAAACATATCGGGTCACCCGTACGGAAATGGTATATGACGCTTCAAGGAATCTCTAAATACTTTAAAAAATGAATAAGGCTACTCTTTTTCATTTTCGCATATGTACCTCTAGATGTTGGGACCAAAATTGATTGGTTATTCTTAAGGAAACCCCAAATTGTGCACATTGTGAAGGCCTAGAGGATCAGTGTTCCAAGTTGAAAATGGTTGCAGTTGCTGCAATATATATGATTTTGAGACAATCAAGACATCAACAAAATCATAATTTCATCCATGAGAATAAGAGAGTGAATAAATTACAGTGATGCAGGATGAGCCGAGAGCTTGTTCTGGGATAGATAAAGAAGCACTTGTGTTCATTCCTTCCGTGGTCGTTCGGGGAGGGTTCATTGTTGCGTCCAACATGTAATTTACAGCTTCCTTTTGCAACTGAAGAAAGGCCAAACCAGCCTCTTCCGGCGACTTAACAGCTGCTGGAAATTTGGCGACATAAGCAGCAAACTAATACCACAAGTCAGCCATACAAGAAGTCGTTTTTCAATCCACTTTTCCTCCAATGATCATTGACAAAAGAACAATTTGGGAGAGCCTTTTTTTTTTCTTACCTCTTTCATCGGTAGGTTTTCGACATTGAATTCTACAGTTGGATTTAGAGCAGCAAGTTTCATAGACAAGAACTGCACTACACCATAAGTTAACACAGATTTTTTGTCCTAATAAAAATGTTCAAAGGATAACAACATTGACCATATGTCTTGTCTGATTACCTCAACTTGTTTTTGCAGAGATTGAACATAGTTGATTATCTCATCAAGCATTCCAGCTTTTCCAATGATGTTATTACAACCTGGGACTAAATCTTGCAAGCATTTCATCTTCTTACTAATCTTTTCCCTTCTTGCCTGTAACATATAAAAGAACATATCAATTGATTTTACTTGACAAAAAAAACCCACAATTTCAAAACAAAAAACCTCATACTTACTCTTTCTGCCAAACTGTGACTATCAGTAGCCTGACCCCTACGTGCCCTTACATGAATGTAATCTGTCTTCTTCTGAGCTTCTGAAGCCTTTGAATTCTCCATTGAAGAGTTTCTTGAAACATCTGTACTGCATTTTGTTTTGGACTCGGATTCCATGTCCATCTCTCCTTTGATCCTCTTAACCTCGCATTTATCATCTTCAACAGCCTGTTTAACAAAAAGTGAAAAAAATTATCTTTAATCCAACAAAAGAAGAAAAGGTCTCAAAATGAACAAATTTACGGTGAATACGTAATGCCAAACCTCTGCTTTTCTCTTTCTTCCAGTTGGCGACTTCATTGTTATACAGTCACCAAAATCCGGTCCAGATGCTGAATTGTTCAAAAATTTGTGAAAATCATCACTACCCAGATAAAACCCTCCATTGAAACCCTGAAACCGAGGCACTGAATTTGGACATAACTCAGTAGGATTGTCATTTTGGACCACATGGTTTTGCTGCAATTTCAACCTTGCCTGTTGTCTCTCAATCTCTGTAATGTCCATCCCATTATGAACACAGCTTTCCATGGAGAGCAGACCATGTAACATCTCTGGTCAATCTATAAGGAGGAGAAATAAGATCTCTTTATTTGTTTCTCTCTAGTTGTTAGTGAGGTGAAGAGCTGAAGATGATTTTATAAAGGAAAAAGAGAAGAGAGGTAAAGGATCGGGAAATGAATGTAAGCCATTAAAAAGAGCTTGTAGGCTATGGGACCCCAATGACATAACCGCCATGTGGGAATGTCCGTTTATTACAGAAAACGGAGATGTGGAAAACGGGGTACCAGGTTTGGTTCTGGTTGAGGTTAGTCTTTTCAATCGAGCCTTTCCCATGCAGATTAAAAAAGACGAAAGAGTCGAGATTTGGTGTGGTTTCAACGTCAAACTGCCTTTAAGTTGTTTGATGAAACTTTTATTGAAGTATTGAAGTATAAATAAGGATGAGTCTGCTTGTTCAATGAGCATGGTTGATTACTTAGGATAAACACTATTAATTTAATTTATAAAATTTTAAAATTCTAAAAAAATCAACGTATAATTATAAATTTATTACAAATCTAAAAATAAATTATTTAAAATAAAACATTAATTACATTATTTTTCATAATTTTTGGATAAATTATACCACTAACCACCTAACTATTGCCTATTTTCATTTTGACCACCATTTTTAAAATTTTGTCAATCAGGTCATCCAACTATTTAAATGCATCTAATCAAGTCACTTGTCATTAACATTTAATGGAAGTATTGACGTGACAATTAATAAATGAGAAAATAACTTCAGTGACCGAAAATACCTTATAATATACGATTTTAACCAATTTTTTTGGATTTGCAAAAATGACCGATAAATTCGCAACGCGAACTCCAATTTCACAACACGGGTTCCAAAATCGCAACGCGAAAGTTAAAATCGCAATGCAAAAGTCAAATTCGCAACGCCAAAGTCAAAATCGCAATACGAAAGTTAAATTCGCAACGCGAATAGTTAAATTGCAATGATAATATGTAATTCGCAACGCGAATAGGTATATCGCAACGATAATATGTAAATCACAACGCAAATTCTCCAAATTCGCAACTCGAATTTCGCAACGCTAATTACCGATATAGGTAATTAGAGTTGCGAAAACGAAATTCGCGTTGCGATTTTGGAGAATCGCGTTGCGAAAACGAAATCCGCGTTGCGATTTTCCAAATTCGCAACGCGAATAGGTAAATCGCAACGATAATATGTAAATGGCAACACGAATTCTCCAAATTCGCAACTCGAATTTCGCAATGCTAATTACTGATATAGGTAATTAGCGTTGCGAATTTCATTTTCGCAACTTGAATTTCGCAACGCTAATTACCTATATCGGTAATTAGCGTTGCGAAAATGAAATTCGCAACGCAAATAGGTAAATCGCAATGATAATATGTAAATCGCAATGCGAATTCTCCAAATTCGCAACGCTAATTACCGATATAGGTAATTAGCGTTGCGAAAATGAAATTCGCGTTGCGATTTCGGGAAATCAAGTTGTAAAAACAAAATTCGCAATGCGAAAGTCAAAATCGCAACGCCAATTACCGATATAGGTAATTAGCATTGCGAAAATGAAATTTGCGTTGCGATTTTGGAGAATCGCGTTGCGAAAACAAAATTCGCGTTGCGATTTTCCAAATTTGCAACACGAATAGGTAAATCGCAACGATAATATATAAATCGCAACGCGAATTCTCCAAATTCGCAACTCGAATTTCGCAACGCTAATTACCGATATAGGTAATTAGCGTTGTGAAAACGAAATTCGCGTTGCGATTTGCCAAATTCGCAACTCCAATTACCGATATAGGTAATTAGTGTTGCGAATAGGTAAATCGCAACGATAATATGTATCGTAACGCGAATTCTCCAAATTCGCAACTCGAATTTCGCAACGCTAATTACCGATATAGGTAATTAGCGATGCGAAAATGAAATTCGCGTTGCGATAGTACTGTTTACCTATATCGGTAATTAGCGTTGCGAATTTGACTTCTGTGTTGCGATTTACATATTATCGTTGCGATTTACCTATTCGCGTTGCGATTTTGGAACTTGTGTTGCGAAATTGGAGTTCGCGTTGCGAATTTGTTGGTCATTTTCGCAAATCCAAAAAAGTTGGTTAAAATCGTATATTATAAGACATTTTCGGTCACTGAAGTTATTTTCTCTTAATAAATTGGTATAATTACATATTTGATTCTCAATGTTTATAAATTCTATACTTTAGTTATAATTTTAATTCAATTAGATAAATTTAATCTCCAATTAAGTGGTGACATGTGTCACTACAAGATTGGAGAATATTTTATTAATTTTAATTATTTAATTATTTAATTTATTTACTTCTAAGGGGAATCAAACCAATGACTTATAGCACACCATAGCACGTATGAACCATTAGGCTAAACCCTTCGCTTGGTAATTGTTTACAAAATTTTATATAATAAGTTGTTATAACTAATGACAGAGAAAAAATTATATTGTAACGGGACTCAAATCCTATATTTACTAAAATTTACAATATTATATATATAATCATTAAATTGAGTATTTTTAAAAAATAAAAAATAAATTTTAGATTTTTATATTTTTAAACTATATTTATTCTTTTTATATAATCATTAAATTAACTTTTTAAATATAATTAATCATTTTAATTTTAATTAATGATTAGATATAAAGAAATTATGTATAAAATGACTATTAATTATGTTAAACAATTAAAATTATTCTTTAATCATATAAAAAATAAATATAGTTTAGAATCTGAATTTGGTGAAATTGATTTTTAAATTTCAAATTTATTTTAAAAATATTGAATTTATTTTTATACATATTGAATATATTTTAAAATATTAAATTTATTATTATTTTAATTAAAATGTATATATTTATAAACCACTGACTAAATTTGCTTAAATAGTTTTGGTGCTTATATATTCTAAAAAAAATAAAGGTTTTGACTTATTTTATTTATTTTTGGTTATAATACAAGGTTTGACAAAATTAATTGTTGGTCCAGTAGTAGAACTTACCCAAACATCTCATGAGACTCAAGTTTAATTCTCTCCGGTCAATTATTTTCCTTTCAATTTGTTTTCTTATATCATAAGGTCTTCAGTTGGAAATCAAATATATAAAATGTTGCACAATATTATGAGGGGCGTAGCCCAATGGTTTAGACGTATCTTATGATGCTCTTAAACATTGGTTTGATTCTCCCTAAGAGCAAATTATATTTTAATTTGTCTTGCTTATCAAATAGGGTGGTGACACTTGTCATCACATAATTGGATATTAAATTTATTAAATTGAATTAAAATTATGACCAAATTGATAAAATTTATAAATATTGAGGATCAAAAATAAATTATACTAATTTTATTAACTGTCACATCAATAATTCCATTAAATGTTAACGAAAAATGGCTTCTTAAATGCATTTAAATAGTTGGATGACCTGATTGACAGAATTTCAAAAATAGTGGTCAAAATGAAAATGGAAATAGTTAGGTGGTTAGTGGTATAATTTACCCAAAACATTATGGAAAATAATGTAATTAATATTTTATTTTAAATAATTTACCTTTAGTTTTAAACTAATTCATAATTATACGTTAAGTCCTTTAGAATTTTAAATTTTTATAAATCAAATTAGTGGTGCTCAATAAGGCTGTAAAATCCGGTAATCGGATAGGTTTCAGTCGAATCTTGGCAGGTCGAGTAAAATCGGGTACATGTCAACTCAGGTCAATTTGATGGTTTGAATCAGATCAGGTCGGATACAAGTCAAATCAGTTCGAGTTATTTTCATGTTGATTTGACACCAGATCCAGATCAGGTTCAGGTCAAGTCATTTTCAGTTTGGATCGATGTCAGTTCAGGTCAAAACAGTTCAAGTCCGAAGAAGATAAAGACCAGGTTAATTCAGGTTCGGGTGGACTTCAGTCGGATCTCGTTCACATCGGGTCACATCATTGACAGTTAAAATTCAGGTCGGATGTTTACCAGATATGAATTAAGCTTAGGTCGGGTCGTTTTTATTTTTTTATTAATTATTTTGTCATCTTTCGTGATTGTTGAATTGCAAGTTGTAATTGTATATGATTTCGAGTAAATTAAGAGAAAAGTAAATATTCATGGATCAATTTTGTAAAAAATATAAATTTAAGGACAAATTAAAGAAATGTAAAATTACAAATATAAATTAAACAATAGACATAGGTAAGGGACTAAATCGAAATAAATTTAAAATGTGAGGTTTAAATTAATATAAAAAAGGACTAAATTAAACACATTTAAAAAGTTATAGGTCAGTTACAAAAATATAAATAACAATTAACAATGGGCCAAATGAATATGCAAATATAAATTTAAGGATTCAATTGAATACATATAAAAGTGAAAGACTTAAAATTGAAATAAATTAAAAAACACAAAAGGATTAAATCGAAATAAATGCAAAATGTGAAGAAATAATGAAAATATAGTAAATTGCATTCATTTAAAAAATTGAAAAAATATATATATATAATATAAGTTTATATAAACTATATATATAACTATATATAAACTATATTATATATAAACTACATAATTATTAATAGCTATATATATAAATTATGTTTATAAGAACTATATATATAAAATATATATGTATAAACTATAAAAAGTATATAGTTTATAAACTATAATTTATATTAATATAGTATATATATATATATATATTATTCAAAGTGAGTAGTGGGTGAAAACTTTTTAAAATAAAGATTTTTTTTGTGTGAAAAAATTTGATTTTATTTGGGAATTTAGAGAGAAATTGGGAAATTTAGAGGGAAATTGGGAAATTTAGAGAGAATAGAAAAATTTGGGAAGTTGGTGCCAAGGATAGTGTCCAACAAGATATTTTGGGTTAATTAGGCTCATGCTCCTCCAACAATCATCATTTTTTCACTTGTATTTGATTTTTTATTTCTTTAATTTTAGTCATGGTTTAATTGTAAATATCTTC